TCCTGGGCAAAACAGACTCAACTTGGGGAAAAGTAATAGTTTAATTTCACACTAATCAAACACCCACAGGACACAGACACACTCAGAGCAGGGCTTGCAGATGTTACCCCCTCCTCCCTTCTTCCCACCCAAATCCCTTTGTTCCCAGTTTCTCTCCCTCCTTCCCCCAGTGGCACAGGGGGATGGGGTTCAGAGTCAGTTCCCAGGCTGGTGGTTCCTGCTGCTTCTTTCTCCTCAGGGAGAGGGATTCCTCACAGTCCTGCCCTGCTTCCCCACGGGGTCCCTCCCACGGCAGAGACTCTTCCACCAACCTCTCCTCCATGAGTCCATCCCACCAGGCCCAGAGCTGCTCCAGAGCTGCCTGCAGAGTCATGGGGGCTGTGGGAATAGTCACTTCCCCTGGCACTGGGGGCTTCCAAAGCTGCATAATCAGATACCACTGGCAGCAAATCCTCTGGCCACAAAATCCAAGCCCACTGGCCAAGTTCACCCCTCCTGGCACCTTCAGGGCATGTTCCACCAGGTTCCTCCACGAGTGCAGGGGCACAGCTGCCATCTCGCCACGGGTTGCAGGGAAACTTCTGCTTGGGCAGGGACACCTCCCACCAGACCAGGCTGCACCACAAGCCTCATGCAACTTGACCTTGAACACTTCCAGAGATGAGGCATCAACAACCTCCCTGGGCAACTTATTGCAGCACCTTCCTGCCCTCACGGGTAGGATGTCTGATGTCTGACCTAAATCTCCCCTCTTTCAGCTTAAAACCATTACCCCTTGTCCTGTCACTGCCCTCTCTGGTGAAAAGTCCTTCCCCAGCTTTCCTGGAACCCCTTCAGGTACTGGCAGGTCCTCTAAGGTCTCCCCAGAGCCTTCTCTTCTCCAGGCTGAATAGCCTGAACTCCCTCAGCCTGTCTTCATAGCATTGGTGCTCTAGCCCTTTGATTATCTTTGTGACCCTTCTCTGGACCCTCTCCAACAGGTCCATGTGTTTCCTGATCTGAGGACTCCAGAGCTGGACACAGTACTTCAGGTGTAGCCTCACCAGAGCAGGGTGGAGATCAGTCACAATACTTTTTTTGTTACCACAGATAGCAAATGTTTACTCCTTTAAAATGCCCGTTTCCTAAAGGGCTGCCAAGTATTTGTTATTTGTTTCCTTCTTGAAAAATCACATTTCACAAGATCAGCCTGGCAGAAACAATGAGAAATGATTTGATACGTTGTCAGCTTGAATCTTCAGCATGGAAAGAGAAAGTCACGTGCAGGATCAGAGCTGACTTTTTAATTTCAAGCAGAGATGTCCCTTCAGAATAGCTGGTTGAATTAATCTGTGTGCATCAGGTAACTGAAAAGGGGAAAAAAAAAGAGCTGAGAAATTATTTTTAGAAGCCAAACAGCAAAGCAATCCACAGGATGTTACAGAAAATGTCTGTCTTTTAATTGTGCATTTCATGGAAAATTCTTATTATCACAGTATCACAAGGCCATATATTCTTAATACAAAAACCTGAGAAAATTGAGAGGTGAAAATAACTCCACTATATTTTGTTGCATGGGATGTTCCTTCTGCTGTTTTATGTGGTTTGATAGAAGAGAAACTATGAATAATGTCACCTTTTCAAACCTTGATGTTTTCATGGACCTTGTGTGGCATAACTGGGGCTCTGATACATCTTGCAGAGATTGCTTCAAGCTCACTGTAGCATCAGACAAGCATTAAGGTAATAGTTCACTCAGCCTCAGCAATTAAAATGAAAGCTCAAATCCTGGAAAGGAAAATGAGCCACAGCATGAAAGAATGAGACTAAATTTTGTTTGATGACAGTGTTATTAAATTGTTCACTTGAGGGATAAGTGAATTTGTGAATATTTAATATTAAACAGCCGTTCAGGTCTTGAAATCAGCCTGCCTGCCAGAAGAAAATCATCATAACAACTCCTCAAGTTACATCCAAGATAACTGGACCTCCAGATACTCCACCCTATGGACCCTGAACCAAAATTGATCAAGTTATCCCTATTCAACTGAGTTCCAATGAAGATTTCTGCCCATATTCATATCCCAAACAAAAACTTTTCATTTAGGCTACTTCTATTTTGTATTTTATTTACAAACCTTATGGGGTTTTTTTAGTTTTAGGGCTCTTTAATGTTGTGATTCTTCTGCCCTGAGAACATTGGCCTATCAGTTAACATGCTCAGCTGATGCCATGTCACATACTGAGCTTTTGTAAGAGTTCTGCTTTGATGTTCAGCTCTCATGGGAGAGAGTTCAGTCCAATTCTTGATCTGTTATTTGATAGGAATGGGTAATTTTAACCAGCAACCCTCCTTACCAGCCATCCTCACATGATGGCCAAGTGTAACTGGTGTCAGATGCAGCCAAATGGATAGTGAGGAAGCAGGTCTGAGGTGAAGCCAGAAAGTCATGTCCATGGGTCAGGGTCTGGGTCAATGAGCCACAGGACCAGGCTTGGGCACAGGTACTGCAGTGAACCTCTGGCAGGGGCCAGGCATGAGAGCATTGACTTTGGCATCACTCCAAGTAAAGGAAAGGGTAACATCCAGTGAGGCATCTTCTGACCCCTTCTTTGAGGGTCAACAGTTGGATTTCTTCTCATCTGGCCCTGAAAGGGTAATGATGGTGAGGATCCTCTCAGGCATGTACAGGCACATTCAGCTCCCCAGGTTGGCTTCAGAATGAACAAAATCTTCATGGCCCTCCACTGGACTTGCTCCAACAGGTCCATGTCCAACAGAAGAAGGAGCAGCAAGGCAAAAACATCTTGATTACTTCTACAATTATGTGTTATGACAACTCCATGTTGTTTTAGGCAAGTCACCTCAGCTTCAGGTGTCTCTTCCTGTTGTCACACGTACATGGCCCCAGGTGTGATTCCACTACAACACCCCCACAGCAAACTGTTCATGGGGAGTGGTATTTTTGGCAAGAAAGGGATAGAGGAGCTGCTACACTTTGCTTGGTAATGCCAACCTCAAAACTCTGAGAAGTGTGTTTTGGAACTTCCCTTTTCTTTTTTGTTATATAAAGAGGTCATGAAGAAATTCTTCCTGGTTACTGTGATCTCTCCTCACTTAGGAGAGGCTGGGCAGGTACAGGACAAACTTTTAGGGATTCAAATTTACACCAGCACATTGTCTGTGTGTTGTAAATGTTGCCTGCCAAATTGTTTTACTCCTGTTGAATGAAAAATGCTCATACTTGGAACCGAATGTGCAGGTTATTTCTCTGACTTCATTGGATTAGTCTCAGAGGTCTAATGCATTCTGGCTTAGGGTGACATCAAGTCAGAGGAGATTATTTGACTGTGGAAGTGTAAGGCAAGTTGGATACCTTGATGCAGTGTGGTGAAAGTCCAGTTAAAACAGGAAACAGAGCGTGTAAAACTGATTGTACAGCATCTTTCCAAGCACAGGGCTCTGCCTGCCTTATGAACCCATTTCCACAAAGTATAAATGAGGTTAAGAGATTAGGTAGGTTGGAAAGTTGAACTTTTGTTTAGAATAGAAAATCCCATTGAACTATCTGAGGGCTGGAGCACCTCTCCTGTGAGGACAGGCTGAGAGAGCTGGGGTGTTTGCCCTGGATAAGAGAGGACTCCAGGAAGACCTTAGAGCACCTTGCAGTGCCTGAAAGGGCTCCAGGAAAGCTGGGGAGGGACTTTTGACAGGGGCTTGTAGTGAGAGGACAAGAGGTAATGGATCAACAACTGGATGAGGGGAGATTTAGTTTAGATATTAGGAAGAAATTAGGAGGGTGGTGAGACACTGGAACAGGCTGCCCAGAGAAGCTGTGGCTGCCCCATCCCTGGCAGTTTTGAAGGGCAGGTTGGATGGGACTTGGAGCAGCCTGGGCTGGTGTGAGGTGTCCCTGTCCATGCAGGGGGGTTGGATCTAGAACTCAAACCATTCTATGATATGACTCTGTGATTTAAAGGATGCCCAGAAAAAAACAACTCAGAAGTTCATAGAGATCGTGAGTTTCCTGCTTCTGAACATGTGTTTATGACCTTTGGGCAATTAATTTTATGATTACCAGTTTCCAAGTCTCATAGACCTTTTCCCTGATGTTGCTTTGATGTTGTCACAGGACTTACATGGGTGAGGCCACGATCTGATCAAGTCTGTGGATAGGCTAGGAAACAAACTAATAGTGATTTCATGAGAATGAATTGTCCAAATCATGATTAGATTTGCCAATGGAAATTGTGAACTAACATATAGGTTTATGCATGAAGGAAAAATATATCTTACTAACACTAAAAGCATCATCTGCATCCTCAAGTCAAGTGAAGAAGCCTGGCACAAGGAAAAAAAAAAGCTTGATGGAATAGTAAGTGCATGATGGGGGCATTTAGGAGATTCAGGTTCAATTTGTGCTCTTCCTTAAATGAATATGGATTAAAATCAGTGAAGGCATACATTGAGCTCTTGTGCTGGATCTATTTTGTAGATTTTACAGTGTTTCTGTGCCAAACCCCTCCTTGCTTTCTTCAGCTGGAAATCCACAGCTCCAGGATCTACCTACCACATTAATGAATGGCTAAGATATGTTCTAGCAATAAGATACTGTTGAAGGGTGACAGCACATCTTAATTGCTGCTGTCACATCCAAGGAGATAAAGAGTTTAAAAGGTCAAAGCTCTGATGCTCAGAAACACCATTGGCATATATGGCTTAAGTTCACATTGGTTTCAGTGAGAAGAACATGCTCAGTCCTGCCTTCCATGGAAATCCACAGCTCAGCTAGCAATGGTAAACCTTAATTTTCAGGTAACTCCATTGGTTTGGGACTGTGTGACCACATCCCTCAGGCAGGTGCTTCCACTGATGTAAATGACTACAGGTCCCTACTGGAAAAACTCTTCTGAAATTATTTTTTCTTCTTGCTGTGTCCTTACTGTAAAAGGCTGGCCTACACTAGACAGAGGCCTGCTGACTAAATGGAATGCTGTTGCTTCCCTCTCTCCTCTCCCAGTTATCACACTGTGCTGTATCTTCAAGTGCCGGATTCCCCGGACGAGGAAGGAGATCGAGGCCCGATATGCTCAGCGACAGGCAGCCAAGACATATGCAGACAAACTGGAGACTGTTCCACCACTCAACGAGCTCACAGAGATCCCTGGAGGTACTTTCCCTGCCCACACAAACAGACGAGACCCACCTCTTCTTTTGGGTTCCTTTTTATGTAAGTGAATGCCAAGGGCTTTCTTTAGTGTAAATCAATGTGGATCCTTGGGCACAACCATGAAGATAATGCCATAACTTGGTAAACACCTGCCCTTTGCCTGGACTAAACCTGCAGTATTTGTGGAAGCAGGAGTGGTCATTTAGGTGAAAGGAACAGTTTCTCCATTGGTACAAGTCAGGGTCATTCCTTTTAAGTTCATGTTTAAAAATTCATAGGATCATAGAATTGTTTTGGTTGGAATAGACCCTTAAGATCAAGTCCAACCATTAACCCAACACTGCCAAGGCCACCACTAAAGCATGTCCCTAATTTCCAGAGAGTCTGATTCATTTTAAGGATAAGTTCCTGGGTCGGGGGAGGAGGGTCAGTAGGAAGAAAAAGAGTTTTAGAGTTTCAAATGACTCATAAATTGTTTGCCCCAATTAGATGGCCAAGAATATTTCTGTCACTGGTCTCCACCCCTCTCACTCTTCATCTGATTCTGTACCCTAGGCTCTACTGAAACTCTCCTAACTCTCTCTGGACATGTCCAGTCCAGACCTCTCAACTCCCTGCCTGTGGTGAAAGAAGAAGATGAAATGGCCCTGCAAGGAAATTAGGGGACTGCCTTCTGCTCCTGTCTGTCTGTCTGTGGCTTCTCTTTTCTGATGAGACTCATCAACCTCGGACTCTCTGCTTCTCCAGTTCCCTTTCTGCATTTCATCCTTGTTTTCTCAAAACCTTTTTCTGATTATTTTTATTCTCTTTCCTGTGTCTCTGCAAGCCCTGAGGTCTGTAGCTTCACGGAAACTGGGAGTTTCCTTGGCTCAAAATGTGGTGCTTCAGCCAATGAAACCGATGAAAGAGGCAAATGTAATTGTAGACATTTTGTCCTACACCAGCAGAACACAGAACTAAGTTTAACAGTCAGCACTTGCACATGCCTCAGTATGTTAAAAGTGTTCAGACATCTCTCTGGGCCTATACTATAAACTGAGGATGGCCAGACCATTCTCTGGAGCTGAACCCAATTGGCATGAATAAGCCCTTCTCCATACAGTTAAATTCTCAACCTACTTTAAAGCTCAGCCAAAGCTCTAGTTAGAGCATTCTTACATGCAAGAGCCATCACACATGGAAGTGCTTAGTATTGTACCTCTTGATTCCCTGCTCAAAACACCAAATTCTGACTCTCTATGGACCAACTATCAGTAGATCCCAGAGGGTGTGAATGGTCATGCCTGCAGGTAGCAGAAAGCCAAATTCACTCACTTGCTGCTACATCCTCTTCCTGCATAGTTGGTACTTCTGGAAAATCAATAAATTAAGGATGAGAATATCCAGAAGTGTCAGAAAGAGTATTTTGGGCAGCAGAATGGCTGTTTCACCCCACAATACTGTTAAATTTTGATCTCCTGTAAGCAGCTTTCACATCCCAAAGGCTGGCTCTTTTGTTGTAGATTTCTTCAGACCATGATAAATTATTGCAACATGAACTCATGAATAAATTACCACAAGAGTGCACCACATATAGATGTCAGCTGCACCACTGAGATTATCTAAACCTTTTCCCCTTTGAATGCACACATTCAGTAGTTGAACACACTTGTGAGAATTCCAGAATTAAGGTCCTGGCATGGTGCAGAGCAGGAGGCTGGTGGATAACACATTGTTGAGTGGCTGCTGTCTAGTAATGGCTCTTAAATACATGTTCTCTGAAGCTCCTAATCCTCTGGGGCAGATATACATGTGTTCAAGTTGCCTTGAAGGAACTGGTACTGGGTGGGAGTCATCTATTCTCAATTATCATCTACAGAAGTCTTAGTTAACGCTAGTTGTCTAGACTTTGCCCCTATACCCCTGGTGGAAAATAAAAAGGATGTGATTCTTTTCACAGTAGGGGAGGTGTTAAAGTAGAGAAGGAAACTGCTTTGAAAATGCCTGTATGTGTCCAGCCTTGGGGACCCAGAAGGACTGACTCAGCTGTCAGCAACAAAAGCTGGGTGTGATCAAACCCCCTGGGTTGCCCTCCTGAGCTTAGTGTGCATCCTATGCCCTCCCCCAAAATTTTCCCACATGGTTTGGGTGTTCCAGTGGAAAGTATGCAACCTTCTGGGCTTCATCTCTGGGCTGCTGGTTTCCCCTGTACAGAGTGTGATGCTCTGTCATGTCACCCCACTGACATTTGGCAACCCACCTTGATTTATGCAGTCATGAAGCAGAATGTTGTATTTCTCAATTATTTAGATACTGATACTGTGACAACCCCTGCTAGACTCAGTCAAGGCCAGAGACATGACTTGAGTGGTTTTAATTAATGAGAGCCCATTAAATGTTTTAAAGATTTTGCTAAGTGTCAAATGGTATTAATCATGAATATCTATTACAGTGCTTCACTCCTCTCCTTTCTTGGCATTATTTTACCCTACTTCACAGTTGCTATGATTCCAACTGCCAAAAGGGCTTTTTCGAGTGTCTTATATGGCAAGTTCTTTTGTTGGACATAAATAAAATGGACTTTAGAGTTCATTGTGTAAAATGTTATATATAAATTGATTCATTTGTGCTCTGTCTCCCAGTCTGTGGGAGAAGTACAAGCAGGACTTGGCCTTTACTCTAAAGTGGGATGTACTGCTTGGGAGATCTCCAAGTATTCTGGTCTGAGGCTGCTCCAGATGACATTTTTGGGAGTTCACCTGGTTCCTACTGTGTTTCTCCAGGAAGCAGGCAACGTGGTAGTTTTTGTTTGGATTTTTTCGTTGTTGTTTTGTGTCTGTTTCGTTCCTGGTGAGGTTTGGTGTTTGTTTGAAGTTGTTGTTGCTTTCTTTGAATTCTTTCATCTCCTTTTTTTTTAATGTGAGATGTCAAGTGTTCCTCCACGGTTGTAAGAAAGAGTCCATATTGTTCTACTCCCATATGTGTGTGCAGATGTATTGCCAGTTCCCCAAAGGATGATATGTTATTTTAGTGTGCAGGCTGAAGCAGCATTTTAGGGCAACATAACAAATTCAGGTTTGTTTTGCACCTGCAGTACATTGCTGCAATTTAAAAGTGACACTAGAAACATCCATAACCACATGACACATGGGGTTGTTTAAACAGATTTGAGCCCAGTTGCTCCAGGTAAGGGCTGAGACATCTCACCACAGGTCTGTACCAAATTGCCTCCTAAACCAGTTCATTGTCATCTTTTCTTAACCTGTGACAAATGTGACATAATTTGACTTAGCTAAGGTGGCAGCTGAGGAAAGTTCAACAGTGACCAACCATCCTCCATTTGCTGAGGTCACTCCCAGATCATTGCTACAACTTGTCTGAATTTAATTACTATGTTGTGTTAAGTTGGTTATCTGTTTACATTTCTGAGTCCTACATTGGGGATTTTCAGAGAGGAGGTTGTAGGAAACTCAGCACATTTTCATTTGTTTTTGCAAAACTTTATACCCTGCTGGTCTTGAGCAGAAGTAAAATTTTCTATACAAAGATATGAAATATGATCTGTGTTTAAGGGTCACGTTGTAGCTTGAGTTGAGAGCTCAGGGCACCAAGCTCTGAGGTCAGAAATACTTTTGGGAAAATGAACCACTTCTAGTAGAAGAAAAATAAGAAAAATGAGGAAAGGTTTTCTGCTACCAGGTCCTTACTCAGAATAATTAAAGTCTGCAGAGCCAGTGTGATATTTATTAGTCTTCTCACCTGAAATGTGGGCATTGAATCCAAGATATTGCTAAGTAAAATAAAAGATATTATAAGCTCCCTGTAACCAACATGGCTCATGTGTTAAAACATCCCAAAACAGAGTAAGCGCTAGAGTTAATTGTTCTAGTTAATTGCAGCCAAGTTCATGGTATGTTGCTGCCATTAATTACAGTGGTACAGGGAGGAAACCAGTCCCAAGGTGACTGGGTATGGATGGGACATGAGCTAAGCCTACTTTGTAGTCCTATGTTGGACAAGCTGCCTTCTGCTTGTGTGTCTCTGGGAGTAAAGATGCCCAGCAGAATCCCTGCTGTCCACCCTCTGCTGCCCGAGACACAACCCTGAGAGGAAAACAAAGAATTAGAAAAGCCAACCAACCAAATAAAACAAACAAAATCCAAAAAGCAAACCCAAGTCAGGTCTGGACTGAACTGCATGAGAGTTGTTTCTGTTCCTTCTTGTGGAAGGAGACAACTCCACATGAAAGTCATACTTGAGAAATGCTGATGGCCTTCACTGATGGTGCTCATGGATCAGTTCCTACTAACAGGAGCCATTTACTCCAATAGATCCACAACTCAGCCCTTGAAATGACCAGTTCTGTTTTTACCCCATTTGTCTACCCTCTCAAAACAAAGACACAAAAAGCTGTTCCAGTGAGGAAAAGAGCTGTATAAACAAAGCCCCAATAGAAGTATTTTCCTTTTTGTCCAAGATTTGCCAACAGGGAGCAGTTTTGCCCTCTTCCTGGTTACTGCCAGCCCAAGTTAATTACTTTCTTGTTTTCTTTTCCATCCTTGCATACAGCTCAGGTGGCTGAAGAAAAAAAAGAAGAAGTTCCCACTGTATCTGGAAAAGTCGACAAGGCTCAGGGTAAAAAAGATGGATCCAAAGACAACAAGAAGAAGGATAGTGAAAAGGACCAGAAATCAGGATCCAAGAAAGAAGGGAAGGATGGAGCCAAGAAGAAAGAAGGAGAAAAAGGAGAAAAGGGAGAAAAAGGAGAAAAGGGAGAAAAAGGAGAAAAGGGGGGAAAGGACAGTACTGACAAGAAACAAGCTGGTGGGAAGAAAGGTGAGAAAGAAGGTGAAGCAGCAAAATCAGGAGAAAGCACCAAAACTAATGGCAAGGCTGGTGGGAATGCCAAAGCTCCAGCAAAGAAGAAGTGACTTTACTCCAAGCTAGTGCTGGCAGTCCTTTGGGGAGGACACTGTCACATTGCTGTGGGTGGAGCACTGGGAGCAGGTAGGACATGCTGCCTCCATATAGTCAGGCTGCAGAGTGCCACTGGATGTGTGGCTTTATTCTTTTGAGGACCAAGTCACTGGTTTTCTGTTCACCAAAGGAGAACTTGGCCTTTCCATTGGACAGTGTCTTGTAAATAAAATACAAGGTGCAGAGCTACGTGTTAACAACAAATGGAACCAAACTGCAGCTTGGAGGGAGAATCAGGACTTTGGTGAAGGATGGAAATGCAGAGAGAAGATCTAAACTAATGGGAGGACACAATTAACATCTTAGATTTTACAATTTACATTTGTTCTTCCTGAGGACCTTGAGAAGCTTGATAAATATATATTAGCACTCATCTCCTCCTAAATAAGGTTTGCATGTGAGTAATTTAAAGGATTAAGTAAATTCTGGATGCTAAAACCCAAAGAATAGAATTTTTAAAGTCATAGATCTTGTCACTTCTGAGAGGTGGCTTGGAGACGTGGCAGAAAACTTTCCTTCCTTCTCAGATGCCTCATTTTCTGGACTGCTGAAGGAAATAAAAAGAACTGTGTATCTCCCAGAAGGTTTATCCTTTTCCTCTTTCCAAATGAAATACTTCTAAATCAAGTTGTAGGAGGATGCACAGAATGAGAAAAAACCACACCAAAACAAACATCTGTGCTGCTGTTGGCAGTAGCTGCCCTGC